AAGGTGTTGTTTTTCTTAAATTTTATTAGATGTACATATCGGCCAAAGATGTAGGAGTGATTGTCCCGAGATGTCCAGAAGTATCAATCGATATGGAGCATCAATGATATTTTATTATCTTAAATATAAGAAATTTTAAATATTGTGATAAGACGGATTAAAATAAATAATTGTTATAGTACAGATGTTACTAATATCAATTGAAAATAAATTACTCTTAGGTTCTCAAAGCAGTACAGATATCATTGTTGATCTTGTGGGTTGTAGCGTCATGTAAGTGGATACCTAGAAGTCTACATGGTGTTACAACCCGACCCAGAAGATCAACATCTTCATCCAAATCTATTTATCTATTGAGTAATTTGGGAATTCAGTTGGATTAGACAGATAATACCTTCCATATTACATATCCAGTGTTTAAAAGTGACTGTTTTAAAGACTGTAAAAGTGGCAGGAAGATAAACTTAAACCAGTTTTTAGGGAAACAAACTGCAATGATATAGGATAACTTAAAATGGGTCTCAAAAGGCTCAACTGGTGGGAGGTTAACAACACCAGAGAATTAGTTAACCCAGTCTAATCAGCATCTTTGTACAAATCTCTGTTGTTGCCATGTAAAAATAATCACATACTTCTTTACTTTGTACCAACCTCGCTCACGACTGGTGCACTCTATTTGAGTGAGTTTTATGTTCCACCTACGAGTTGTGGGTACATGTGGGTCAATTTTTATGGAAAGCTGAATTGGTGTGTTGCCATCTTGGAATTCCATATATACTGTAACAAATAAGTTTTGGATTTTATACTGTTAGCCTTGTATTTTGTATGCATCTATCCAGAACAACTGAAGGCTGTGGTGTGGAAAATGATTAATATTAATAATTATAATATTATAATTAATATTATTTAATTTAACATACCACACCAAATATTTTGGTATAAAAATAGATTGGTTTACACCATTTTTAAAATTACTTTTAACTAAAAAGAAACACTCTGAAGTTGGTGAATAAATATGTAGATCATGAAACTACAACTCTTCTGCTCAGTGATGTTTGATTGATCCTCTGGCAGCAACAAACCTACATTCAGAGTGAGAACAAAACTGATAGTCAGGAGTAGTTATATCAGGGCACTTTGTTGGCCATGCAATGTCTCAAAATCCCAAATTCAAGCAGGCTGAAAAACATTCATTTTGCAACATTCATGGATAGTTTTGTATAAGATATAAATTGTAGTAATTATACTGGTTGTTTTTCGGAAGAATATTACAGTTTTTTAGACACTTGTCTGCAGTACAGCATTGAAAAAGTTCTTAATTCTACAGATCCCACACCACATGAAAAGTCTTCAGACTTACGAGGCCACTACCTGTACTAGATTAATTTCATATATGTATACTGTGAAACTTGTTAGACAATGGATTTTAAAATATAACTTCTAATTGTAATCATAAATCTTCTTTACTGATTACCAATTAATTACAGTTAACAATGGTAATCTTCAGAAATGTGTATATCTGCTTTACAAGTATAAATAATTACACAGAGCCAGTAATAAACTACCAAGAGATAATATCAGGTTGATAGTTTATGAATGACAGATGCATATATGGTCTAAAATAATATAAGAAATAAACTACTAAGTAAAGTCAATAAATATAAATTTCAGGGATGCAATACATAATACAGTGAAGACAACATTATAAAACTGAAAATATAGAAGTTTAACTGTATTAATGGCCGCATTATGCAAAAATGGGGAAAAGAAACACGAACAGATAACTAAAATTATATACATTCACATCAGTACAAAATTCATAAAAATGGAAGTGATGCTTTAAAAGAATGAAGAGAAAATACTCTAAACAAGTGAAATGCATTTCAGTAGAGTCACTAAAAACAAGAACACTGATCATAAAATAAATTATATTATTATGGAAGACTTGACAATATTTAGCAAATATAACAAAGTAACAAATTACAGATCAAATGTAGACAATAAAAGCCACATGGATACTTAAAATATTCATGAGATATACAATATTGGGTACCAAAAAACGATTACAGACCCTACTGTAGAGCAATAGGAATTAATATATAACATATAAAAGAAAGAGAAAATCAATATACCAATCATGAAATTCATAAATGCCACAGTGGAAGAGATATCCACAGATTTCTCATTTTCTGCGGTACAAAATATTACCATGCTGATTTGTGTTAACACCACAGATAGTAGGCACTGGGTAAGCACCGCCTGTTGCTGCAAGGTAATCGGAATTGCAGTGTCCATCAAGATTCGGTTGGG